ACTCCCTAGTGAGATGAACCCAGTACCTCAGTTGAAAATGCAGAAATCACCGGTCTTCTGTGTCGCTCGCGCTGGGAGTTGGAGACTGGAGCTGTTCCTATTTGGCCATCTTGCTCCGCCCCCCCCCAAGAATACTTTTTAATTTGTTGCATCTCTAAGTTACTAGAGGCAAAATAATAGATAATAATATAAATTCCTATGTTTCTAAACACTTTTTAACCACTTCAAAAAGCTTATAGTGTTGAATAGAATATTACAGCCTAGCTTAATCTTTCCTTATTTTTTGAATAAAGACTTGTGAAAAATCTTAAATGAATCAATTGTATAGAAGCATATATTATGATAAACTCATTGACTGTAGGCTATATTAATGATTCTTGACCTTCTTATAATTTATGGCATGTTCATGACTCTTCTGGAGATACTGGAGAAGACGTTTATGGCAGTGGCTCATTGAAAGGAAGGTTAAAAGAGAAATCTGACACCAAAGAGGAGATGCTGAAAGAATCAGCCTGCTGGAAAAGTATTTCAAGCAAGCAGATGTGCAAAAGGAAAAGAGTGGAGGTGGGAAGAAATAAGTGGAATGAGAACGCTGGATCAAGGAAGTTGAATGAAAGGATGACAGAACCCAGCATGAAGATGAGGGGAGAAGGGCTGCAGGAAATGACTACTGACCTACGGTCGAAGCTAGACCAGACAAAATTAGGGGATCTGGGGGCTTTGAGAGATAAGGGTCTCACTCTTCCAAAGACCTGGAGAGCTAAGAGAAGCCGTTCAGTGTGGACTGAGAGTTGAAGGACTATCAAGAGACGATTGTGTCACAGTGTGTCAGGTTAGGTACTATTTGCACCCCAAGATTCTCTTCCTCAATGCCCAACTGTAATTTGACCAGGAGGAGTGGTGAAGGCAATAGCAAGAGAAGAACAACTAAGGGAAAGGCTAGGGCTTCATGGGTATAGTCTTCAGACCATCACTCAGCTACCACTCCCCATCTCCTTTTGTTCTCCTGATGTTGCTGGTAAAAAAACAATCAAGATAACTTATGCTAGAAATGTCCCTGGGCTTGGGAAATTCCCTATTTAAATTCTTCAGGAGAGGTGAGGCTGTGCTTCACATTTCCCTGCCCTGTCTGGCCCTCATCTGTTTTTACCTCCACTGTCCTCCCCGAGACCTGCTGCCAAGCATCCACCAACAGCACCATCACACTCTGTTCTCTCTCATGCTCCCCACCACTTCCCACCTCCACCTGCTAGCCCTCTGTCCAAACAAAGAGGGTGGAAAGCAGGATATCGTGACACACTGAGGATATTTTTAAAATGCAAAATGTTGCTACATACTCCTCAGCAAAAAATGAGGCAAAGGATAAGAACAGTGTTAAATGAATAATTTGTGCTTTCTCTACCACATATTAGAGGTAGTACATAAACTAATTATATTTCTAAACATTTTCTATAAACATGCCAGTACCTAATTTTAAATGTAAATATCTCATGTCATGCCACAGGATAGAAGAAATGTAAATATCTCCTGTATTATAATTTTTCTATTTTCTAAATGGAATATTACAACTATTCTATCCACCAGCTCCATGAGAATTTATTTGAAAAGTACTGCATATGCTACCTGTAAATCAGTGGGTTATATTATTGATACTGCTCTATTTCTAAAGTTACATTTGCTAATATAGCACTTAAACATCTCGGTGAGGTACAGCATGAAACTTATTTATACTGTTTATCTTTTGTGTTTTTCTTTAAACAAAACAAAGCTTTTTTGCTTTTTCCATAAAGGGTTTAATGTAGATTATGAGTCTAGGTGAAAAAGAATGAGAATGAGGGGTGTATGACTATTATATATTCATAAAAATTAAAAATTGAAAAAGAAAAGAAAGAAAAAGAATGAGGAGGGCTAGGGTCTGGTTCAGTTTAGTTTTTGACATTTAATAAGGAGTTCAAAACAACAACCATAAAGAGGCTAAAGGCTACAGTCAATAAAAATAACCTTGGAACTTTCAGGGAAAATATAGGAATATCTGCATAGTCTATTCTCTATATAAATTTATTTTCCTTGACAATTTAAATCATGATTATTAAATAACATAAACAGTAACTGCTCATCTGTATTTTATTAAATCTTTTCTCATGGAGAATAAAGCTCTTTGTAACACTGTTCTTAAAATTCATACTATGGGAATGCCTTAAAATTAGTGATTATTATAATAAAGAACTTAAGCTTTTCATTTTTTGAGTAGATTTAAGCCTAACTTTTCTTATACTAAAACATAATCAAATGTTAGAGTATTATAGTGATATCTGACTATTTAATCACATAAATATAATGGAGAAATCAGCTGCTTCATAAACAAGTCTAAATAGTCAACTTAATGTTGTCTAGCAAGAAAAAAAAAAAACCTCTGGACAAGCATATGTTAACTTTCTCTACCCATGGTTCAGAATCCCTCTAAATAAGATATTTATGAGGAAGCCATAGGGTGTATTCAATCAGAGGTGGTTTCTAACAACATACCAAATGTCTGGATGAAATGGAAATATTTATGCAATCACCTATAAATTTCCAAATGTAGCTAAGTTTAGAATAGGCAAACTGAAAACTCTTAAAGTTTTAACCCAAATACTGAAATGGGAGAGGACCAGGAGGTATGACTATAACATAGTGACTAATTTGGGTGTATATTTTTCAAAGAAGAGAAAACTCAAGTAAGAAGAATCAATGCCAACTCACTTGTCTCTCCCACGTCGAACTTCATCCTGCTCCTTGGACTGGCGGCGGCGCTGTCTGGCAGATGTGGCAGAAGATGCTGATGGTGTTCCAGATTCTGAGTCCTCTGAACTTTGACCTCCAGAGTTATTAACATCAAAAAGATGTTGTTCTACAGCTGATCGTATGGTTCTTTCTAAGAGTCTGGCAAAAAAGAATGCAGAGTCATTCAAGCAGTCAAGTTCATCAGTGATCACCTTAAAAAAATATGTGCCTACAGTTTTGGGAACACTTGTATTTCCAATGGAAGGTCTTTAGAACTTCATGAGCAATGATGAGGCATTAATCTAAAAAATATCTGCATTATGTGCTAAAACCAAAACTAAATGAAAACAATTCTGCCAATTTAATAACTTTCTCATCTTCGTGAAGCTAGTATTGCTGAAATGCTCATGGCAAGTCTAGCAACAATTATGAGGCATTCAGGAAACCGGGGTCAGTTAATATAAAGTAGAATGAGGAAAGATTTTTTTTTGCCCTCATAGAATAATAGTAGACCTATTCTCACAAAGGCAATTTCATACCAATTCTACAGAGGAAGAGAGAGTGATTTGCAAAGCAAACTGGCACAAATAATTTTATGATGCCTATTATCTATTTAGAATCTAAGACAAATTATATGAAAATAATGATATTTGGGGGAAAAACTCACCAGAACAATTAGAACTCATAACAGCATGGCATAATCTTTCCTAACCTCTATTCAATTAAATTATGATATTTATAATTAAAGTTGTATTCATGCAAACACCCCAAAACATATTATTGAAATTGGAAGGATAGATTTACTTTGTTCAACCTGAGGAAAAGAGATAAGCACAAAGAGCTGAAAAGTGCATGGCAAGCTATAAATGGAATAATTTTTAAAGCTGTAGAATCTTTCAAGGTGTGTAAACTTTCTTTTAGCACCACATTATTTCCAAATAAGCTGGTATGGAAAGTTCTTGACTCCTCAAACCATGTTTCTCTTCACTTGAAAAAGAACTACATGTACATTCTAAATGCTCAGGCTGAGAAATAGCATTTACTTAAATAAAATGTGTTTTGAGAACTTAACTAATTTCAGATTTTTCAAATGCAGTTTTATAATCCACTCATAGTTATCTTATTCAAATTTTATTAAAAATATTTTAAGATCATGAGGAAGTATAGTCCAATTAACTTGGGCATTAGAACTTTTATACATAGAACTCCATGTGTCAAATGATTCAAGATTATTTAATTGCAGTACAGAGGATTGTAAGTTAATATACACATAAGAGATGTACATATTATATAAATAACATATTCATAAGGAAGCCATAAAATGCATTATGTCAGAGGTGGCCTCCTACAACATACCAAACATCCAGATGAAACGGAAATACCTAAACAGAACAACCCTGCACCTTTTCCAAGCTATACAAGACCCATAAGGAAAGGTTATTAGGAAATGAAAAAGGCAAGAACATGTCAGTCTTGGTGCAGTTCTTGAATATCTTTGAAACTGACAAAGCCAAAGGAGGTCAGTCCTGCCCTCTGATTGTTTTCTCTCCCAACAAGGAATTAAAAAAATTGAAATCCATCCTGTTAGATCCAAATTCATTTCAACTAGTGCTTCTTCTAATTCTTCTCTCTTCTCCCTATCACACCACATCCACCCCACCTCCTACACCTGATCCTTGCCAAGAGAAGATGCTCCAAAAAGGCCCACTCATGTCCCAGCAAGCAAGGAGAACAGGTACGTGTGATGGAAACTTATGTGGGCCAGGAGCTGTTCCGTCATTCGATGACTATTTACTTAGTGCCTAATATATGCCAGGCACTTTTCTAGGCAGTAGGGAGATAGCAATGAATATGACAGACAAGCTCCTTGTATTTACAGAGCTTACATTCCTGTAGGGCAAGATAGATAATAAAGAAATAATGTAATTTCCAATAGTAATAAGTTCTCTAAAACACTGAGTAAAGTGGTGGCAAGTGAATATGGGTAGTTAGGAATAGAATCCTGGATAAGATGATACTTGAACAAGGAGTGAATGATAAGAAAGTGCTGGTCAGGCTGAGGAACAGCCAACACAAAGTCTCTGAGGCAGCAATAAGGTTGGCCCTCCCTGGGAACAGCAGGTCATGTGGCTGAAATGTAATGAGCACTGTGGTCAGAGGCGTTAGCAAGGACTGATAACTGGAGTTTAGGTTTAGTCTAAGTGTCAGTGGAAGACTTTGGAGGAAATGGCATGTGATGACATAATTAAGAGAATACTGCCACTGCCCTGTGGACCAGGGACTTGTTGCCATCACTAACTCGCTTTCTTTTCTGCATCCCTATTAGACTGTAACATCCCTGAAGACAGGGCCCAAGGCATCTTTGACATTACACATCTAACATGTGCCTGGTGTGTTGCAGGCACTCAGTCAATGTAGGTTCAGTCAAATGAACTAAGCAGGAGTAAAGACATGATTAATGGTTTAACTTTTAATTACATTATCCATTGCAAGATGCCTCCCAAAGCACATTAGACTACTTGCCAATATTAAATGATTCTGGCATTATTTTTAATGAAGTAAACAAAAAGCTCATGTTTTCTAATGTTGGAGTTGTCTGTAGGAATACACATACAGAAGCTCAAATAAGAAAACCTATGTAGTCCTCTCCTCCATATAGTCTAAAAGTCACTGGCTGCTTATTATCTGAATCTTCCAATACTGTACACCATTAGACTTGCTTTTTTTTTTTTTTCTGTTTAATAAGTGGGAAAGGGCATTAAAAATAAAACCCAAAGCCCAAAAACCCAACCCAAATAACTTACTCTCCGGTTGCAGACACATTGCTGACTTGGGGTACATGAGCACTGCAGAAAAGAAGCAAAGAGAAAGAAAGTCAGGTTAGATGAAAGATCAGAGATGATGAACCAAACATCTGAAGTGGATCGCAGGCTGAAAGAAATTAGCTCATTCCCAAGTGACCCTCAAAACAATGTTTAACCATCCAATGAAAGATGCTCATTTTCACTTGTTTCTAGAAATGGAGATGGCCCGGCTTGCTTATAACAGTGGCTTTTTCTCCTTTTAAAAGATGTCCATGGCAGACAATTCTGTAAATTTGGAGAACCATCTCTTAGCTGTCAATATATTGCCACAGCAGCCCTAGTTCAAGGTCTTTTCATTTTCCTAAAATGTCAGTTGTGGCCAAGTGACTTCCTGCCACCCACTTCACCTATTTCTATCTTTCCCCAGCCCAAATCCATTCCCTTCCTTCTCCTCTTAGGCCAGGAAACAGAACATCTTTCTAAAACTCTGCTCTCAACAGGCAGAGGGCAGTGGGGACCACAGGGATAGAGAACAAGGAACCAATGTTGTCTTCTATATGACTATTTGTTTCCTTTTTTTTTTTTTTTTTTTT